GGTGACTTCCGGACTCGACGCGGAGGACTGCACAGAGCGGGGTGCTAGGTTGGGGTGGACGCTGACTTTCGGACTTCTAGTTTAATCGCCCCGGACTGGAAGAATAATAATCTCTAGTTTGCCTGGCTGTGTGGCAGAGCAATTAAAATACAATTACAAAATAGAATGTAGGCCATCTGTGTTGGTGACAGGATGTTCTTTGAGGCCCAGGGAACCCCAGGCTCCCCTTTCCTGTACCCTATAAACACCTGTGGGGGAGGGTATTGTAACCTTAAAACGTACGCAAAGACATGTGAATTAGGTTTCTCGAAAAAGCTGTTAATATAAAGCACCCAGAAATAAATTTAATAAAAGATGTCAGGAACTTTTCGGTAAAAACTGTAAAAACTTCTACGAGAGTAGAAGAAAATAATTGTTCATGGATTGGAAAATTCGGTTTTGTAAAGATGTCATTTCCCAACTTGATCTCTAGATTCAATGCAATCCCAAATAACAGTATCAACAGGTTTAAAACAACAGCATTCTTCATGCGCAAGGCAGAACCAAGAAAGATCCGATTGCCCTCGAATAGATTCCGACTCATAGTGACCCTAGAGGACAGGGTGGAACTGCCGCAGAGAGTTTCCAAGGAGCGCCTGGTGGATTCCAAAGTGCTGACCCTTCGGTTAACAGTTGTAGTACTTAACCACTACGTCACCAGGAGAAAAATGACTAGATGCTTGATTCAAACCTTCCGTTTGTCTGTGAAAACCATTCATGCATGTTTGTGAACCCCACAGATGGCAGTTTTTTAGTCACTACGAAGGTCGGCCCAATCTTTAGGAAGGAGAATTTCTGTAGGAGACCGTTTTCTCCAGGAAAATCTTTCAATGGCCCTGTAGACAGCCTCCTGCTCCACGCTCTGCCTAAAGTCACCACCTGCTGCTGCTACTGTGGAGCGAGGACTCTGCCGCGCGGTGCTGATCGCCTCTCCCTGCATCAGGGACCCCACATGCCTTTCTATTTCTCACCAGGAAAAGTACAAAGGGCCCTACCTGGAACTGGAGAGCCTCCACCACACAGGCACTGCCCACTTTAGTGATCTCCAAAGGGGAATGGTCAAGAAGCTGGAAAAACACACTAGAGCTTGTATTCATATTTGCTGTTATTTTTCTTTTTACATCTGTTTTTGTATATGTTTTATAACTTACATCAGACAGTATGCATATATAATTTTACAAATATACATAGATCAGTATGCATAACCCTAAAAGTTTCACCAATACGAGCACATGACAAAAAAAAAAATTGGCGATAACTTACTCTTCACCAGTCTCCTTCAGATACTGTATGCCTGGGGTTCTCAAACTAAGTGGGCACCAGAGTCACCTGGAGGGCTTCTGAAAACACAGATTGCTGGTTCCTGTTCCCAGAGCTTCTAATTCAATACGTCTTGGTGAGGGCCTTAGAATTTAGGTGGCGCTAATGCTCCCGGTCCTGGGACTACTCTAAGAACCGCTGCTCTAGGCTTCCACAAAACTGGGCTGTCTGAACACTAGAGCTTCCCCGGCCTGATTCCTAAGTTCGCAGTCCATCTTTTTGAAGTGCGCTTCGTCTATTAAGATCCTACGCTTTTGGTTGATCAGTATGTTTTAACTGAGATAAAATTCTTACTGAAACAATCATTATTCTTTGGTTTGTAAAATGTAAGGGGCAGAAGCATCAGTACACCCGGTAAAAATCATCATCTGTATTGAACAGATGCAAGTATCAAGCAGCCTTCACTGAAAATTTGCCCTCGTGCTGTCGGGGTCGGTCCACGCGGTCCCCGACGGGCGCGGCCGCGCCTGCGTACTGGCCTCCGCCGCTGAGCGACAGTGCGGTGCCTGCGCGGCGCCTACGTGACACGCCTCGAGGCGGCGATGGCGGCGGGCCGTGGGCGAAAGCGGGAAGGGATAGCATCCCTACGGCGTGCTGACAGGGGCGGGCCCGGCCGCAACCTCTGAGGGCCGCTGGGCCTGCCAAACTCCCAGCTCGTCTCCCTGCAAAGTCCCCGAGCGGCCGCCAAACAGAGCGAGGCGCAAACGCCAGCATGAACCACCTTCCTCGCCTCCGCGGCGTCCGAGCCGAAGTGAACTCGCGCTCC